GCCGTGTCACCGGCAAATGTCCCTGCGTGCAGGGGCTAACTCAATTCGTCTTGCTCATCGTGACATCTTTTGGACATCAGACTGGGATATGGCGAGTCCGCAGCTCGACAAGGCCGCTCCCCGGCGATTCATCCCGTCTGGTTTGGCATCGTTCCTGAACTTGTTTGGCGCCTCGCCGAAAGCCTTATGAAGGGGAGCGGAAAGATGGACTTAACTTAGCACATCTCACCTCACTATCATTCAAGTCCCACGTCATGAACCTCAACAACGCACGCCACACTGCTTCGGAGCAGCCTAGCACGACCTATCCTCTCACACAGTGGAGTAGGTCAAGCCAGCGCATGGCTTACCCCTCATCCAATGGGAACTACTACGCCACGACACAAGGATCACCGCCGGTGTCCCCTACAATGGCGGCGTCACCCTATCCTTCCTCATATCCGTATGGTGCCACGAGTGCCCAAGCATCTGGGATGACCTCTCAGCATAATTACCACTCAACGGCTAGGCACGCACCTTACCATTCCCAGGTGACAAACGGCCAATCCCCTCACAATGTATCCCCATCATCTCTGCCCTACCCATCGCAGAACGGTGTGACATCGTCAGATCCGCGACCAGGATATTCCCACAACCGGTCGTTATCTCTTCCGCAACCAGTTTACACATCTGCCTCGGTGTCGAATCCATATGGCGCACATGACTCGTCGACACATCCTCAGCTGGTGGTCCAAGACGTGCAGTATCCTGCTTCTCCCCAGCGCCCATTTGCTTGTGACATGTGTGCACTCTCGTTCAACCGTCAGCATGACCTCAAACGGCATCGGGAGACACATTCCGGCGAAAAGCCGTTTCTGTGCAATGGGGGATGCGGCAAGACCTTCACGAGGAAGGATGCATTGAAGAGACACCAGGTCTGTTCATCTTCGGTTTTTCCTGTCACGGTGTACCCACCTACATTCACAGCTCGTGAAAAGATGTGGCTTTGAGGAACAGTCCTGAGGACGCGACGCCCCCGTTTCTATCATAAATGTGAGCGATTCCATGTCCATGTGCACCGCACCTCGACTAACGAATCACAACAGATTCGTTATTCGCTTTATTCTGTCTATCTCGTCCTATCGTACCATCAGGGGGATGGGTATTGGTGTTTGATTATAATGTGCTCCTCGATCGCGGGTATTCAACACCCAGGTGTATATTTTGTAGCTATAGCTGTAAATGGCCCGCTCTGCTTAGTGACGCGGGATATACAGTAATAGATTTAGTGATTGACTTACTCTTACTACATGACTGTCTATCTGCTGTCGACGTCGTTAACGCATGATCCTATCCATCGTTCGATCCCTCAATCTGGCGTTCTAATATCCAGGCACCGCTTGGCTTGATTTTCTTGTAATAAGCTTCTTCAATGCCCTTCTCCTTGAACCCATGCCGCTCGTAGAAGTGCTTTGCGCCATCGTTTGACACTTGAACGTGGAGATATATGCAGTCAATGTTGGGTTTAGAACGGGTGGCAGCCGCTTGTAAGATGACATCTATGCTATACGACCCTATGCCAAGAGACCGATAGGGCTGGAGAGAGGGGTGACGGTTTCACTATTGGAGCTATGGGACAGGATTGCTTCAAGGCACACGTACGGCGAGAATTCCCATGGTCAGTAGGTACAGTTTGTTAGCATTGTCCTTTGATTCGAGTCTGCAGCATATTGTTCCGACGGGGATATCATTGTAATAGACTACGAATGCAGTTAGTACGCCGACGGAGCGAATGAGGTGATAGCGGACGCACTGAGCTTGCAGAAGTCTTCGACTTCGGGCAATAGTATCTCACTATAGAATTGCTCACTATATTTGATTGGAAAAAGAACAGAGTTCAACTTTCGGACGGTTCCCAGGTTATTTGGAGTCAGAGACGCAAAAGTAACCTTGGAAGACAACGACTTTTTCGTGGAGGTCATGGGATGGTGGTGACACAATGCGGTTGACCGCCAACGCCACCAGCTCCCGGCCACATTGGGCCACGAACCAGCGCCGGATGACCTCCCCACGCGTGCACGTTGCACGCACGTTCACTAAACAGAATGGGAAGTGGATGGGTACGTTTAAGGGCCGCACTAGTTCACGTTCTGATGGACAGAATACAGTGCTGGTGAACATGGAGTCCCCTAACCTGATCGGGGAGGGATACTACACTATTCCCCTCCAAGCATACCTAGCCAGTCCCTCCGCGCCTATATTGACAATTTGATTCACCCTTCAGAGTTCCTATATCCAGCTCAATGCGTGTTGGATCATCATTTGCTTACTGTAGGTTTGGGCAAACCCCCATTCAGTCTAGTGATTGTGATCGCTTTTATAGGGTTTCTGGAATATTTTCGTATCGTATGGGAAAATAACTTGGGTAGGCTGTGCTGTTCTGTTCCGCGCTGTCGGCCTGGCCTGGAAGCTCCGCATGGACCCAAACGGCTCTAAGTCACATATTCTCAATCCGTTGCCTTTGCGCCCACCATTGGAGGACGTATTGTGGTCATAAGCCGAAGCGCCACGACTTCGAAGCTTAGCATCCTTATTGGGAGTACGCAGTGAATACCGTGGACCCGCCACTTGGTCGTTCGGGTGAGTTCGTATAAATTGATTCTCAAGTCGGAGTGAAGGCGGGGACCCAATTCGGGTCTCTCGTTCTTCGTTGCGTCTTGTCAACTGGTTGGCGCAGACATTGTTGATGGGCCGGTGAGCCCCGAGCATTTAGCCGTTCACGAACTGTATATCCGTACACAGCCCCATTCCTCGGGGCACCCTCGGAGGCACATTCGGAACCAAATTGTTTGGGCCGTTCGGGTACAGTTGAATTTGTATACCCTAGACAGTTTACTTCTTTTTTTTTGATTTTTTTTTTGAACCAGACAGTTACTTCCTTCCCCTCGTTATCCAGGGCGAGTTAAGCAGGTGTGCTGGACATCAGTAATGTTCCTCATCATATTATCGGCCTTGACCCCCGATGGACATTTATTTCCAGTACCCACGGTGCCGCTCAGGATTCAATATCCGCACCAACGTGACGCTGCGCCCATCAGCTAGCCTTCATACTTCATGATCTCTTTGTCAACCAATTTTGGTAGGCCAGCATCACAAGGTTCATGGGCGTCAGCTCTGTTCGTGGCCTCAGGCCGCCAGAACAGATCGATCTGTCGTTTGCGCGTTCTCATGTTACTCAGCGCTTCTGGTCTGAATATCTCCATTAAAGACAAAAGGCCATGATGACCGAGGGCCGTGGAGTAAGGTCGCAGCCTGGCCAGCCCCTGCCTGCAGACCACACCCCAACACCCCAGTCGTGGGGAAGCACAGGGATTGCTCTCTCCATGCAATCGAACTGAAGGCCTCGCTTTCCTGTCGGTTTGCTTTATCTTGATGATCCAACTCGGCCCTGCAAGGAACAAACAATCTTGCTTGCTGGGACCTGGCCTGTTCAATGCCTTCCTCGATACAGCTAGATGCAAAGCGCGCTCTGGACATAAACAAAAGAAAAATGCCTTTTTCGGGATCGCTCTTTTACGACCTGTCCGAATTGGGTTAGAGGAAGCTGAGCTCATCGAGGTGATGCAGTATGTGAGGTCATGGTAGACGCTATCTCCCATACATTACGGCACAATGTCCCTACTTGTCCCTCAGACGGAATCATGGTGCCTACCTGTAGCGCGCTCCGTCGAGGGTGACCTTCAGGTGTGCAACACTAACAGGGTGGGACACTTGTCCAGGAAACAGTATTTGATAGGTATTCGAGGCTTCCGTGCGTTTTTCTTGTCGCCTTCACAAGTGATTGGATGCTCTACAGTATCTCAGACTCGTGCACTTTTGTCCTGGTCTAACTCTGTTGTCAAGGGGTTCAATCCAGGGCCTCCCGTTATCCGGATGGAGGTAATTTGTAGGGATATCCACATCCACTTTCTCCTTACTTGTTATCGCGATGGGCCGTCCACCGAAATGAATTTGTGGCAACTGGCCTGGCCACAAGGGCAGACGGTCTTGGAAAGGAGAGAGGGAACCATCAAAATGGGCAAACTTTCTCAGTTGCGCAGTCGCTTCAGAAAATAAAGAGCAGTACAAATACAGTGATATTGCGACTTGACGACAACACTATGAATTCTGGATGACCGTGAAACCCATGATGAAGAAGCAAGAAAGGCATGATGGCGCAATATAGCAGACCAATGCGTGTGGAGAAACCCTTTTTTTGAGACATGAAAATTTTACTTGAATGAGTTGGCGGGACACCATTCCGCTAAATTCGGCGTCTCAGACCACTCCCGCGGGGCGTTCGTCCTTGCTTTGGCGGCGGAGATTTGCGCACCCGAGGTGATGAGTCCAGTTCCGCGAGGTAAACGTCCTCAAAGCTTCGAAATGTACATGGACCAAAATCGCCATCATATTCTGCCATGGTTGCCCACACACAATGCCATCCGGGTACTTCCGCAAATTTCAAGGCTAGGGCGAGATGCTCGACGTTCCATCTACTGTCTATCGTCTCGGACCATTCATGGGCGGTGTCCTTCAACTTGACCAAGCGCGCGTGTATGACAGTGAGGTGGACGCTAATCTGACCGCCTGGGGGCTTGAAGAGTGGCACGAGCACCGAGTTCATCTCAAGTTCCTTCGGGATTCCGCGATGGACGGGGTCGTAGCCATCAACGCGGACTTGATAGATGGTATTATCGGCGAAATGGAGAGTGACAGCTGGATGTGTAGGAGACCGGCGGATGCGAATAAGGACTTTGCCAACGATTTGATCTGGATCGACACCGATCGAGTCTAGGCGAAGCGACTCAGGTTGCTTCCGCTGTTTCTCGGGTGTAGTGGGGGAAGTAGAGAGATGGCTACTCGATGGCATGATATGTTGTGGGGTTGTAGCCTCGAAATTTCAGATTGCTATATAGGACATCAGTCGGAGAAATTTGTGGCTGAAGGGTGTGTCCTGTGTCCCCAAACCACAGCAAAAAGAATGGCACTGACGAGATTCGAACTCGCGAGGTTTCCCATCACGGATTGGTTCAATATAGAAACCTAAACGTGACGCCATAACCACTCGGCCACAGTACCCTAATACAAGAGTGCGAGAAAAGAATAGCAAGCCATCTTTGGGAATCGGTTGTTAAGGGCCTCGTCGAGTCTTTGTAGGTCGTTGCACTCGGCGGTATGGACGTGAATCCTCGTCTCTTCTGAGAGCCACTCTTCACATCTGTTGCGCCCCCCGTTTCTTTCGCGCGGACGCCGGCAGTCTCGTCCCTACCCACCCGCCGTCGTCTCCACACACCACTTCCTCAATGTCTTCCATGTTGCTCTCCTCCACTGGTTCTAGCGGTCAACCGCTCCATCCTGCTCCGGCTCGCCCTCACGGACCTCGCACCTTCCAGAGGTCCGCCTCCCCCGCCCCCTATTCAGCTGCACAACCGACCCAGCCTCTGAACATACGCAAAGTGTCCAATTCCACCTTTCTAACCCCTCCGAGTCCTCCCGTATCTCGTACACCTACACCGAAGCTTGCTCTTCAAATACCATCCCCCTCTCCTACTCCGGGTAAAGGTAAACCCAGCCTTAAGCTTGCCATCAGTGGCTCTAGTTCCCGTCCGGCGGTCGAACCAGCAGCCGTGGGCCTCTTTGGCGGTGATTACTATGGGGGTCCACAGACACCTTCCGTATCGCCTCCAGCCAACGATAGTGGCATCGATGATGCTACTATCCGTCCCTCCACGAACACATCTAGACCTCTCTCGATGGAGGATGTCCGTCGTACGATAACAGATATCGAGGCCCAGACCCGCTCCACGCCCCCTCCGCCCACATACCCCGGAGAGGAGCAAATCGATGATCAGCCACAAACTGAATGGTCAGACGATGTCTTCGATGAGGTTGCACGTCTCGGAGAAGGTGCCGGTGGTGCCGTACACGAGGTCAGGGACAGGCGCACAGGAAAACTCATGGCACGCAAGACGATTACCACTCGTGAGGCCCCGATGAAGCAGCTGGTGCGCGAGCTCGGGATTATCACCACAATCAAACATCCCAACATCATTCGTTTCTATGGCGCCTATATGTCCCCATCATCCAGCGAAGTCAAGGTGGTGATGGAAATATGCCCTGGGAAGAGTTTGGAAGCCGTAAGCAAGCGTATCAAGGAACGTGGTGCCAGAGTTGGCGAGAAAGTCGCAGGGAGGCTTGCAGAAGGGGTAGGTGTTGTCGTTGCTTTAATGACATTCACCATTCTCATCTTCTCCTTCAGATATTACAGGGTCTAGCTTACCTTCATTTGAAAAAGCTCATACATCGCGACATCAAACCTTCCAATGTCCTTCTTTCCCGAGAGGGTGTCGTCAAACTTTGCGACTTCGGCGTTTCAGGAGAATTGATCGGGTCTGTAGCGGGCACGTTCACTGGCACCAGTCTCTACATGGCTGTATGCATTGTTCAGTTTGTCACGTAATATCTGTATCTGACATGCGCCTGCCTTGCAGCCAGAACGTCTTTCAGGTCTCGAATATTCCATCCGTGCGGATGTCTGGTCGACAGGCCTGTCGCTTCTTGAGCTTGTGCAGAACCGTTTTCCCTTCTCTAGTGATATGCCTCCCATCGAACTCATGATTTATATTACACAAAGCGAGGTGCGTAATTCATTTCTACATCGTGCTCTATGATTTACCCGTTTTACGTCTAGCCACCGCAGCTAGAAGACGAAGCAGAAGTACGCTGGAGCGATGCCATGAAGGACTTCATCAAAGAGACGTACGTCTATTCGCCAGCCCCCTCCCTCATGCCTTTATCCTGACATCATCTTTCATAGCTTGCGAGTCGACCCGGCCTTGCGTCCAACGCCAAAGGAAATGCTGTCTCATGAGTGGATCGTTAGAATTATGAAGCAGGAGGTGCCCATGGAACGGTGGATCCGTGAAGTCTGGGGTTGGCCCAAGCCCAACCGGAAATCCAAGGACTCGTAAGGCCGAGCTTTGTTACACCCTTCTTCCTACGTGCTGACTACACCTCGATTACTCCCTACCAGCACTTCTCGTCCCGGTTCGAGTCGGAGGGAGGCCGTAATACCTGATGTCCCTCCTACTGAACGTCGTTCGAGCGGTTACACCGCTGCCCAATAATTGCTTCGATTGCCTCAAATCTTTATGAACACGCGCAATCACGGACATTGTTTTTCATCCATGATCTCCCTCGCTATCTCCCGCTTGCGTTGCTTTCAGGAGCCCCTTAAACGCACTCGACACCTTTTTGTCCTCGCACTCACCACGTCTCTTCAATGTTACACATCTTGTTTGATAGGAACCCTTGTTCAAGCGTATGTAGAAAGATCAAAACCTCGTTTGCAATGTATTTTCGCCACGCGTGAACGTGATTTCCTCCTTCCCTCGATGAATCTGGGCTTCCCTGATTTGAGGGTTTGGTCCGGATGTGATCACACCAGAAGCTGAAATGTGAACCGATCGAGTTCTCACAATGTCTGGTAGGGACGAGGCCACCAAGCAGCGTTAAACAAACCCCATTTGAAATATACTCACTTTTTCACACAGACGGGCGTAAAAAAAATTGTACACGCTCTTCACGTAAGAAAACGACCTTATTCGGAGACCGGAGGGTGTTCGTCAACGTGTACACTGTGCGTGTCTTTCTACAAGAGAGCCCGCCTACCAAAAGGGAAAACGTCCGCTGGGTCTGTGCCACTGTCAGTGCTGCCGACGTTGCCCGTTCTGGAACTCGTGATCGCATTTCGTAGCATTCTCGTGAGTGGGCTTCGATACAATGCGCCGGAGCTGATAGAGAGGTTGTTTGATGTGTCTATTTGATTTTCAAACTTTGGAGTACGGAGGGGGGGGGGCTTCTAGACAACCAGTCAAACGCGTAAGCCAAGAGTCCGGAACGCGTTGCAAGACCGAGCCTCCGCGCGATAACGGGGAAATTCGAACGCAGTTAAACTTGTGAAGACAAGAATTTTTAAACTGATTTGCGCCCCACGACTGGCCGCGCTACTGCGTCGGTCTCGCAGGCGCGATTCATGTGAGAGTGAGTCACTAACGCTGAGCGCTCGACCCACCTTACGAACTTCTACACTTGCCTTTTTCGGTCGATTATGATAAGCACCCCCAGTGGGCGTGCCTCTGACGTATTTCTCAAGGAAGACAACGAAAGAATTTATGTACTGTTTATGTACAAGCAGTACCCACCGTTCTACGGACAGTGGTCACACTGTGAGCGGTTCTTAAATTCTGAAAATTCTGAAACCCCGAGCGGCCAGGAAGAGAAACGAACAAAGAAGACGGTGAAATGATTTCTGGTTCGTTCAGCGCGAGTGAAGGCCTCGGCAGCGGCTTTTCAGCCTTTTCTGGCCAAGTCTTCGGGTCTCGGTCTCCGCCGTTGCTGTGATGATTGTGACGCAAGGATCCTGGCCCGGAATTCTGCACCTCAAGTATATTCCCTATCAAATGAGAGGGAACAATGGTCTTGGTGACGCGGAACGCGGACTGTCGACTTTTGAAAAAAGAAAACCGAGGACAGGTATGAGCATGTGGAAGGTCAATGTCTGAGCCCATCTTCGAGGTCTCTGGGAGAATGGACGGTCTCGTGCTCCTCAACATTTTGTTGGCATACTACCAAGCATACTAACTTACCAAAGTGTGCAAATTTTGATCATCAAGACGCGTCCTGAAACGCGTCCTCAAAGCCTTTCCCGCCTAGTTCCTCAAACAGTTGACCTTACGCCGCGACCCATGACCCAAGAGCGTATAACCCGCTCCACTGGCCTCTCTTCCGATTACTCATTAGTGACACCTACAACTTGACTCAACCATTACGCAACGCTCTCCTTCACTGAAACAGTCTTTACATGTCGCAGCCACGGTCTCGCTCTCGTTCATTCACTCATGCCAGCATTGGCCGTCTCATTTTCTTAAAATTACACTGTCCTTCGCACCCGACCTCGGGCAACATGTCCCCGACAGGCGGACCAGTCACGAGCAATACAACGCAGCACTAGTCCCTTGCCTCAATTATGCATTACCTTGTGCAATACTCGGTGATATGATCAAGGATATCGTCAAAACCCGAAGAGCGACACCACTAGTGTGATCCCTCGCGACGGTGTGTTCAGTTGCAACTGAGCGGCACTTCCTCCTTACGGTGTCCGGGCTATGTCCTGAAAGGCGTGGGCCATTGAACCTGTCTAACGGCCTTACATCTGGGTCCCAACCTTGGTCCCAACAAAGTTTCAAGTAGTTTCCATGTCCGACTCTTCCCTGACATGATGAGCTGGTGAGATTATTCACCGAGTTCCATCAGATCTACCGGATCTATGCCTGACGCTGACGATGGCACCGTAGTACAAAAAAAAAAGACCTTAAGAACACACTACGTGCCTGCTCTATCGAATCATGGCTAGGCCGGTCTCCCCCAACCTTTGCGGAATCCGAAAATGAGCCACGAGTATCATCTCAGTTCGCTCGATCTTCACGCTTCCCACCTGGCTCACACTGATGTTCAGGGCCTTGTCACCATTCCCCGTTGGGAGGCTGTTGGTCTTTGCGGCTCCGCTATCAACTCGGAGACCGTCGAGCTGAGGTTACTTCGATTTTATTTTGTATTTTTGTACTTTTAGTTGCGAGCACCTCTCCACTGGTGATTCTTCAACACAAGGAATATACCTCCCCTACGAAGCCGAAAGCCTGGCGTTTCAAGAAATGTGCATACAAATTCCAATTATCCTACGGGCCACGAGGATGGGAACGTACACTATTACACAATGCAACACGCGATCTAGATTGACCAAATAAAAAAAAGCATTTTTCTCGTGCGATCACGGACGCAATTCATCTGATCTATCTTTCCCTCGGGCGCGACCCCGGCGGTGCTTGACACCATGTTGTATACTGACCTATAAAATGAATCCGCGGAACATGCATGGTCATCTGCGATGGAGACGCATTGAAAATCTATTTTAGAAACACCCTGGACTTGGTAGGCAGGTCGAGGAATAGCTGCGCAGCGCTTGCGGGGGAAAGTCGTGCGTTCGACGTACAACCCTCAGAATTGAGCTGAGCGGCGTC